TGGACGCAGCACGCAATGGGGAAAGGGTAACGTGAAACGAACTCGGCCTGGTCGTTCCAATCCACAACATTATTCGGATCCCCTAATCCTCTTCGGGTAGCGAAGGGAAAAAGACCTCAGACTCAGCTGATGAATCATGGAGGGGTTGAGGGCATCGTGGGGCGAGCTAAATGTCCTTGGAAGTTGGTACAAGGTCTCTTCTGGCCTCAGATTCGCTGACACCCTCACGGTCCGGCTCATACGCCGCAGCTGAGATCCCTGCTACGATCTACCATTGGACTGGGCTTCGTCGACGGTCATCTCCAGACTTTCTCGAATGGGAAGTCAGTCGGACGGGAGGCCTCCTCGTAAGAAATGATACTCCGTTATTACACGCAGCACAAAGGGAGCGAAAAGGGGATTTCTCCCGTCGAACCTCCCCCCGATCTGCATGCATGCGCTTCTCGCGTTGCCCTGAACTACCCTAATGTGTAGAACTTGTCGCTAGTCTGCACGCCCACCCGCTGCTTCATGGTTGGCTGACTGAGAGCCCTGGCTTGTGCTCGTGTCATCCAGGAGACACCGGAATCTGGAGATATTACCATGACCAGGCACAAACTCCGAGCACATGGATCTGTGGCAAGCCAATGCACAAGCCTGGTATTTAGGGGTAGTGGGCGCCCGGCGACCCCGGGACTGGTTGAAATGGAGATGAAAAAAAGTTCATCCATAGATGCGGTCATGTCATCCCCTAGCCGACCTTGCACGACCCTCCTCGGACGGCATCAACCCAACCAGGGCCGGAGCATCAACCAAAAAGCGGCAGTGCCTGGGGTCAATGGGTGAGGCAAGACGATGCTAAACTTCGGTCTCAGCACGCGCCCAGCAGTGGACTCAATCAAAGCGGAGTACACTCACCAGGCATGGGAAGAGATTGGGTGGATGGAGGCACGAGAGGAAACAATGGCAGAGCGCATCGCTGTCGGCTGGAGTCGGTTCCGGGCACCAGATGGCAAGGTAGTCAGTCTGGCGCAAGAATGCGGCATAAGCAACCAGCGCGTCGTCAGCTGTGCACTAAAGACCATGCGACCCATCAGATTGGATGCGGAATGCTGGAACGACCGTTATGGCCCGCACTATGACATATCGTGGACCCTAGCCTATACATACTTAGCAAGGCTGGAGTCAAGAAAAGAGGCATGGATCGCCTCATGGGGCAAATAGAGAGACGGCAAAAAGGTATAAAAAAAGAAATGAAGCAGCAGAGAGTAGGCAAGCAAGGATATGCAGGATGCAGGCAGGCAACAGGAAAAGCCCCGTTGGTGGACAAGACGTGAGTTAGTTGACTGACGGCGGTGTCGGCGATGGCCGATTGCTGCGCCTCACCCGTCGCTGCTGTCATTTTGAGCCACATCACTGTGGCGAAGTTTCTGCAGAACCACCATGACATAATGGGCGGAGAATTTATTGGAAACTAGGGGCACTGCTGGAACAATGTAGAGTCGAACTAGAAGAATATTGTTTGACTAGTTACTTGTCGATAGTAGTTGGTAGTGAAGAATCTCCCCACTACTATCAGATACATCATGCTTAGCCTCGGGTCATATGGGCGATGAGATAAGCGGGACAAGTAACTAACAAAGTAACTAACTAAACTTACTCTTCTGCGCGGTTTACTACTAACCACTACCTGCATCTGTATCCATCGAAGACTGTATACGAAGTACGATGCCTGCTAACCCAGAAATTACACCCCGGAACGCAAAGGCTCTTCCTTCACATGACCATGACTTAGCGCTGCGCCCCATTGTCTGCCTTGATGACTTTCCCACATCACACTCATCACACGCCTGGATGCAATGGGCGGCTTCGATTATCGGAGGTTTCATGCAAGATTCCGGATTCAATCCGGACCTCCACGATGGGGACACGGCATGGCAGCCTTGAAGAAAACATTGCAACCGCGCGCGCATTGAAGCCGCTCGCAGGCAGGTCTGAGATAGCCTAATGATACCGCTAGTGAGATGCAACCTGCATCATTACCATGCATTACCTTACATGCCCGCCTAAGCGCTGAGTCCTCGCCCATCTTAACCAGAGTCAGACTTTAGCCCCCGACCCGGACTGCAACTGGCCAATACGGGTTGCCTTGCTGAGGCTAATCCCTGTTCTGTGTTTCAGACAACCCCATCCCCGTGCGGGCGACCAGGGGGCCACTGGGTCAGCCATGGCAGAGGAGGGGGCCCCGTACTACTGTAGGGCATGCATACTACCGGGAGATATCTTGGGCTTTTAACCTCATTTTTCCTCCTCTGATCCCGAGTGTAATGGTGGTGTCGACCCACTTGGTTCTGCTGACAGTGCATGCCAGTTTGGTCACCTGTTCTACTAGCCATCTTGGGAAGGGAATGGACTGGCCTGGATGCTCGAAAGAGTGTTGGAATGAGGTCATCTCGTTCGGATTCATCCTCCAGGGGAGCTGGGGTCATCTATTCTCCTATCTAAGGGGGCACCGAGCACAAACATCCTGGAAATAGGTATGCGTACTTTGTCCGCTGATCCAGGGGTCAAAGCTACAAGGAATAATGGTCTGGACTCATCACTCTCGTACTTCTGGAGAGGTCTATTTATGCTGGAGTCCGAAGTAGGAAGTCTCTATCTTGCGAGCTGAGCTACTGATCGACTTTATAGTTCTGTTGTGAGACAACAGCCATTTGCTCCTGACGTAAATGTTTACAAACTTCCTTCTTCGATACTGCCAATCCTCAATCCAGCTGAGATACCCCTCGCTCGTCTCCACCACCTCTTGGCCATCTAGACCCATCACATCGGTTCAGGTCACCCTCTAACCATGGTCTGTCGAACCGGGGCACATTAGCTGATGTCAGCACTTAATTGCGACACTATTGATATGGCATAGCATGTGGACTGAGACCACCACAGCCAGCCAAACTATATTATATAGATACCAAGACCATCTGAGCACAGAGTGCTTTGGCTCCAGAATGAGCCGAACATTATGCACAGTATGTCACACTGTCACTCACCTCTGATACGTACTAAAGAGAAGATCACTTTCAGCTGGCTAATTTCCATCTGCATTGAACGAAGAGACCTTGGACAGCTGACACTAATGTAACACCGCACATGCTTTCCGACTTTCTTTCAACTGCCGTAAATGCTGAAACCGATATGTAAACGCTCTTGTGAGATCTGTCTTTGATGCCTGATATGTCACAACGGTGGCTTGAAGCTTGTACAACATGAGGTAAAGTCGACCGGGTTACTACCATTATAATGACACTGCATGACAGCATGAGGTTCCGAAAGAGGACCGGTCGTCAAAAGTTCGACCCCTCTGGTTCACGACAGATTCACTAACTAATCACCTGACCGGTTTACTTGTGTTGCCTATTCTGTACGATGTATGGTCTGTTGCCTATGTGCGTAATAGCTAGTGATTCGGATTGGTGTCCGTTGCAATGCATCACTTCTTCTTCAATGTCTTTTGTGGGCATTTACTATGGCTAGCAGAGCTAGCGAAATTGGAGCAGAGGGACCGCAATACATTGTTAGTCTGCACAAGCTAAGTGATACTGAAAACTGAATCACTCAATAATTGCCTATTACTTGTTGCTCAGTCCTTTTCATGCTTCCCATGATGACACTCCTTCCACCGCATCAGATAAATAATGGCACCAGATAGAGACCACTACTTTTACCTTTGACTCTTTCAGTAACACCAAACCAAGTACCACTAACTCTTAGGTTTACCTTCTCTCTCCAAGCCATATTACTCACGATTAGCTTTGAAACTTAGCCAACTGCCAAGACCATTGGCGTGTCTAAAATTGAGCATACAAAGTCTGCAGACCAACGGTAAAACTCTACATCCCATTATGAAGCTTGTACAGCCAACGTCACGGATAGAGTTGTTACACAGCCACACGAAGCTTTCTTCCAGGAAGGAAAAGTCAAATTCAGCTCCGAGAGAGACAGACCCGCTGAGACAAAGTACTGCTTTTCTTACGTGTTAGCTAGTCTGTAAGAGGAAGTTCTTTAAAAGTCACGATTGAGTATGCGTGAATTAGAAAGAAACTATTAGTATGTATCCGCACCAGAAGTCAGTTGAAGATATGGGGATAACCATTAATATTCAGATTGCGTATAATGGAGAAAATTGATGATGGCTATCATAGATTCTAGTATTTGATACTATTATGAAGTTCACTAAAAGACCTACAACATGAATATACCTATCCTACCCGCTTATCAATATCTCATATATATGGTTTCTAGTAGCAGTGAAGAGTACTATTAGACAGCTAAAACATATTTCAGAGCCACTCCGTATCTCAAGCATAGTCGACCTACCATCCCATTCTCAGTACCAACACCAACACTAACACCAAGCATTATTATGGCTCATGACAAGAATAACATGGAGAAGAATAAGCACACACACACCTACTCCCTCGGAAATATACTCCCCAAGAAGTCAAAATAAAAAATAAGAGTGAAACCTTCATTTCCGTCAGGACCCCTAGTGATCCGCGATGACATGTTTCAAGTCTAACTAGCATTATTTGCTATTTGCAGGGATTTCTTTTCTTATGTTGAATTGGAGTCTGATTTATTCTCAGGATTGAGTTTACTTCTCTTTTATCATTCCTGAAAGGTTATCACTGTGACGGTAGGAGTAGATAGCTAGACTATCGTAGTGTCTCGACTCTGATGGTGGGAAGAGATGGGCTGGTCAAATAGGTTCAGTTTGAGGGTGTTTTGTGTAATGGTTCAAGAAATGGTTCAAGTTGGTACGCTTCTATGGGATAGTTGCAAGTGCAAGTAATACAATTCAAGACTATTTAATGCCAAAGGGTTGTGATAGTCTATCAGAGATCAGACTCGCTCTTCGAGCGTTTCATGCTATAACTCGTTTATAGTATGTCTGTAGTACTATACAATCAGTGTTATAGCCTGCCTTACTGCTCACTATAGAACGTGACACTGGAGTGTATAGTGCTAAGTGCATCATCCAACGCTTCTACTTACTGTCACTAGCGACAGCTATTAGTGTATTAAAAGTTTTCCGTTAACCACTGATTGAAAGTAGTCATCCTATGTGCTTCACGTCTACTTCCTGCTATAAGAATTCGAAACTAATACTGTCAACATAACCAAATGACTAGAGAACCACCGAATGATTCAAGACATATACATAGATCAGACCCAGATTTCCCTTTCGCTTCTCGCGAAGGCACATAGCACAACATAGTAGTATATAGTTTATCAGACTGATGCATACTGCTCAACAAGCGCTTCCAGGCCTTGGGGACTAGTACCCACAAACTCGTCCAATTTATTGCCATTTATGAACGCCATGAAAGTAGGAAAGGATCCGATTCCAGCTTCGTTAAGAATCTCAGGTTGGGCATCAGCATCGACTTTGGCGAACTTGATCTCACTGAACTCAGATTTGGAGGCCAGGTCTTCGAAGACTGAACTGATTGTTTCGTGAGGACCACCCTCTGTAGTCCAGAACTCGACGATTACCACATCGCCCGAGTTGATGAGGTCTAGGTAGTTCTCAAGACTGGTAATGTAGAACAGGAGTAGGGTCAGTTACTAATGTGGAGGTTGATCAAGATAGGAGATGTTTAGAATGATGATAGAAGGTCATACCTCTCGATAGCAGAAACAGACATGATGCAGAAAGTTATTGAACTTGAGGAGTGGGATAGCGGTGAGGAAGTGGTGCTGGTAGTTGGTATTTCAGTAGTCACGGTTTGGATAATAGTAGGGGAGGTTGATGTTCAAGAGGAAAATAGAGTCGTGACGTAGGGGAGATGAAAGATGAATGGGTTTTATAGTAGTCACCAACATCATGCTGAGTTTGTCACTGATATCATGATCGTCAACTCGAATCGTATGTAACCCCACTTCGCTTAGGCCCTCGCGTTTGTTGAAATGGAAAATGGAATGGATTTGTTGTTGAACTGTACGGCTGAGCAGCTGAATAGCTGAACAGCCGTTGTGGTCGAATCATCGCGGTTGATAATATCCACTAATGGATCGTTAGCCTGAACCCCCACTTAATCACGGGATAGATCTGCTCCTCCTTCAGCCGTGCAGAGATCTATCTCAGCTCTTCCAGAGATGAAAATTGTTGAGGTAATTCCTGAGATCTGATTATGTAGTGATAATGTATTTGGAAGGCTGAGGTACTCGCAATGAATGTTTGAGCGAAACAACACACTACTTGTGTAGAGTTAAGGCCAAATACCAAACAAAGGTGAATCTTTGGTTCCTTCGTACATTTATTTACTCAAGTTAGTTCATATCTCTAATGATATCGTGTATTGATTAGTACTGTCCACTCGGGATAGGGTAGGGCATGACTTCTACATTATTTGCTGATGCTGACTGCTCTATCGAAGAGACTCCAAATATGCCTAGTCCCTGCCATCTACAAAAGAGACATATAACCACTGGCAGATATTTGGCATGCCTTTTGACGGATACTCGAATATGATGAAGGGGAAGACTTCTTCAGTTTCTTATCTGTGAAAAGAATAGTGTAGCTAATTAGCTAAGATCAATAGCGTTTGACTTAGAACCTGTAGAGGCAGAGTTAACAAGACTTATTACCAATCTGGACCTAGTTTGTAGTACCTCAGGTACATCATACCAACATCCCAAACCTACCTATATTCTCGTGACGCAAGTCATGTATAAGAAGCGTTTCTATCAAAGAGAAAGAGAACTGAAGGAAGGAGATAAATACAAAGCTAAAGCATAGAGTAAACTTCGCAAGCTCTAGTCAACGCTTTCTTCTATTACCTCTTAAGCATGCAAGAAAAATGAGAGACTTGCCAATTAGACTGTAGAAAGTTTCGGTTGGGTAATGATCAAGTCGAACCACTTCGTATCTATCAATCTTGCTGTTTCATATACTGTCAGATCTTACTCTTCCAAGTCCGAGTTGAAAAATCTACTCCGGGTAGGGAACGCTGAACGACCTCGAACCCGAGTACCATACATAGTAGAAGAGAGGAAAAGGGCATAGAATCTGACAAGGCAAAGGGGCAAATATATTTGATCTAGCTAGGTCTTGAGAAGGTTGGGACTGATGGCCAGTAGAGATGGTGGTCAGAGACCACGTAGGAAGAAGAAGAAGAGGAGGAGGAGGAGGAGGAGGAGGAGGAGGAGGAGGAGGCAAAGGATTAGCTGATATCTGCCTGGTTGCAGTGAATGTCTCAACAGAATACCGGCTCAATATACGTGCAGAAAGAGGTAGAGTAAATCATACAGTTAGGCTTCCTCGTCTTCACCGTGACAGAGCATCTCTTCCCGGGCATAACTAGCAGATATATCCACAGGCGAACCGCTACATCACTCAATCCATATTGCAGACAGGCCTGCTCGGACAGTCAAGGCAGCTCAGCTCGACACTGACCCCAAAGATCCCCACCCAGGTCAGAAAGAAACACGTAGGCCTCAGAGTCATTGGAATAGACGCTGAAGACACTGGGTAGAGAACACGAACACGTCCAAACAGAGTCAGTGGAAAGGCTACGCATAGTTATCAGAAGGAATACGAAAGTAAAAAGTATGCAGTGAGTGACGCAGAGAGATAGGATGGTGACTGGCAAGTAACTAGCCGTTTCTAGCATTTCTTAGTATGCTGTTTAGCTGTGGCGGCCACTTTCCTATGCCGTAGCATGCATTGTTCCAAGTTTCTGCAAGATCGAGAAAGCTAGGACAGCGTTCAAGGCCAGGTTCTTGCTCATAAATAGTTGGAGCATTCGCATGGCTAGCATCTTACCTAGCAGGCTCAATCAGATATAAGAACAAAATAGCGAATTTTGTATTGAAGTGAATAGAATGCTGCTCTGAGGACGACACCAAGAAACAACACCAGATACCTAGTTTCTGGAAAATCTGCGACAGGGGTAGTATTGAATAGACCGGTCAAAAAATGGTAAGTAGTTTCCGTCTGCTCAAATATCGTTCCGATAAATAAATCACGCAATGTGTTGGAGGGCTCAGTTAGTGCGTCTATCCCCAAAAAGTCTGCTATAGCTAGCAGTGTTCTAGCCTGAGATGGTATATAGGTGAGTTCTTAACAGGTAAAAGGGCTATGAGTGAAACACCGGCTCCTAAGTATTCCATTGTGATATGCATGGACGGATGAGCCCCGGTGAAGGAATAAACAGGACCCGTAAAATCCGTTACATATTCCGCTAAAAGTTGTTGGACTAAGCTCCTAGAAAGATATAAAACACATCTAGAACCGAGTGGAACTAGATAAGACAATGAAAAGGCGATAAGATGACTCTGAATTTCGCGTTGTCAGCTTGAAACAACCTCAAAGTTATACCAACCCCTATCAGATAACCAACAGTGCAGCAGGAAGGAAAGAAAAGGGTTTCCCGCGAAACAGAGGAATAAGAATTAAGGATACAAACTAAGTAGCAGATCATACAACCGACTTGAATCCATATTTGGGCCATCCACTGAAGCAGGCTACCGTTACAAAATAGAGCGGAAGTAGATCCGGTCTGATTTTTGGGCCCAACCCAACCCAGATCACCACCACACACGCACACCATCCTGCAAATAATAAACAGAACAACTAGAATAGCAATGAATTAACTTCTCGTACCTGAATGATTCCATAGGATCTAGAAAGTGTCTATAATTATCATTGAAGTAGAAAACTTATCTGGTTATCTACGACAGACATGGAAGTAAGTCAGCACGTTTTGGATGCGGCAAGATCGGCCTCCCTTGCTGATCGAGAAAGTAGGGCCCGAGCCGTCAAATGACTTTCCCCTTGCCAGTTCTAATTCCTGCTTTTGCCTCTGAAGGCGTGGTAGTCTGGAAGTAAGGTCTGCACTGTGTCATGTAGCACAATGTTTTAGTCTGCAATATGCGATCTACCAGAGATAGGGTACCCCCTGGGTTGTCTCATCTACTTGACCTCCCAAGGTCGGTGATGGCTGATGCGGTCGTCGCTGCGGATCACAATCTTTTGGAGCCATGAAAGATGAGCTGAAATTTTGAAATCCTAAGATGAGACATTGCTCTGTATATGAAGGATGAGGTGAGATGTTCGGGTGGTGAGAGGGAATACCTCGGAGTTACGCAAAGTTAATGCGGGTGTGGAGGCCACCATCTGCAGAAAATAGCCCGCACACTGCATCGTGGAAAATTTTATTATGCAGGTCCAGTAATGTACCATTCAGTTTTCCCATCAATTGATGCACTGTCATGACGTTGAAAAGAATGACTCGCGACCGAGGGGGATCTTGTGTTGTCTGGCGAGGTGGGAATGAGTGAGGAGACCATCCTCAATAGATGATAGCCTACGCAGAATCAACGGTTATGGGTGTGCCCTGACCCATTCCTTCCCCAGCTTGACCAAGAAATCCTTCGTGTGGTTGTCGAGGAACCACGGCGCCAACCCCGCTTGATGGTCGCCGTCGATCATTAAGCTAATTTAGACCGAGTCCGAGGGGGAAACCTAAATCGCCAACTGCCCGCTCGCCAACTCCAGTAGCCAGGGCCATTGCTACTTCACATGTTACCGAGCATCTCTCTTGCCGAACCTCGCAGCACGGAAACTGCTCCTTGCGCTGTTTCGCGGACTCCGAGTGCAACCTCGCTGCTGCGGGTGGGTTGGGCACTTAATGTTGGCCATTGCACTGAGGGCATTCCAACGACTACTCGTGTGAGTACATTGTAGTTAGCGTCCATCACAGGAGACCCAGGTTCTACCGGTAAACTACTATTGTTTCCACCCGTCCCCGCAAAGTCAAGTCGGAGAACATTTGCCGTAGATGGCTTAGGTGATAGTCACCCACAGCTTCCAACCTGATAACCAACGTGAACGGCGAACACTGCCACTGGGTAACAGTCGAAAGAGTGGACCTCCCAGGTCACACCCCTTAGCCAGGAACTAGGACTCCTGTTTCCCAAGGCACATCCAATCACTGTTTGGGTGTCAACGCCCACCGCGGAGTCAATTGCGACATGGCATCATAGCCGCAAGGGCAAATTTTGTCAGATGCTCGCTTGACTCAAAATGATGGGCTTTGGTGTCGATCACCGAGGTACCCAGAAAGTTAGAGCGGAAAAATAAGCCCATATCGGGAGCCAAACCATGATCCTAAGTGCACCTCGTAATTTCCCTTCCCATTCATTCGCCCCCCCCGCAAGGCTAAGTGCCCCTAACGCAGCTTAAGGTGCACGGTTCACTCCGACAAGCATAGGCTGCCCCAGATCAAACCATCTACTCGGTTGGATCAGAGGAGCATTCCCTCGCGGTGGGTAGCCAATTCGGGTACTCATCTGGTGGTCCAATACGGACGATCGTCACGTTGTCCTTGACCAGGGACCGAAAAGGAATTATCCCCGTTAGGTTAGGACGAGGCCAATCCGCATCGTCTCGGTAGTATGGCTATTATGAGACGCCCCAGCACGTCCTAGTCATTTCACATGTGGGGTTAAGGACAGCCCTCGGCCTTGTCTCGATATTTGGATCGATGTGGAGAGCGCGGGTGGCTGCCGTGTATCTGCAGGCATAAAAGGAGCCCTGCCATCTGCATTGTCTGGACCCTGACCCGTCCGTCGTCAATTGCTGGCATTCCCTGGTGGAGAGCACCCTCAATATGCGCGTCTCGTCGGCCCTTCTTTCCGCCCTTTTGCTTTCCAGCACTTCGCTGGCAACTCCGGCCCAGGTCTCCTCATCCGTGGCCATCTCTACACAGGGGAGCCCGGCGCCAGAGGAACATGTTGCAGCACAAACAACTGCAGCAGCAGAGGCAACTGCGGCGGCGGCAGCGTCGGCGGCAGCAACTGGTGCATCCGAGCAGACGGCCAGTACCAAGCAGCAGCCAGACAACGATGCTAGTGCCGACCAGCAAAACGCAAATGCTGCCACTCAGCAGTCAAGCGCAAACACAAACACAGACACCGGTAACCAGCAGCCATCTGCTGATGTAGCTGGTCAGCAAACCACCCCCAGTGCCGTACAGCAAACAGCCGCAGCTCCAGAATCGACAAGCCAAACAACCGCCACCCAGTCACAAGGAGGAGATCTTCTTGGTGGACTGGTGGGTGGAATCCTTGGTGGTGGCTCCAGCCAAAACGCTGGAGCAAGCAGCACGGCTGCCGCATCCCCCTCAGCAGCAGGTCTTGGTCAGTCTGCCACCTCCACGCAGGACACCGCGTCTTCCGCAACGACGAGTTCTTCATCATCCGCAGGCGGCTCTTCCGGAAATCTTTTGACGGACATTGGTGATGGCCTCGATGGCCTCCTGGGTCTCTTGTCGCCAACATTCTTGAAGAATGTTGAGTCGTTCTTCAACCACTTTGCATATCTATTCGATGACAAGACTACCGACCAGACGAAGTCATTGATCGACACTGCGTACAACCTGCTCACCAAGCAGTTGATCACTGAATTGACCGGTCTCCTCAACAATGCAAACAGCCTATTGACACCGAACTTTGTGAACGAGACCCAGCAACTGATCAACTCGGTTGGCCCGCTCGTCACGCCACAATTGTTCAAGAAGGTCTCTACCTTGCTTGATAATGGCAACAACCTTTTGACTGCTGAGTTTGTCAAGGAGGTTAACGGCCTGATTGGCAATGCAAACAACTTGTTGACAGCCGACTTCGTGAAGGAGACACGTGAGCTTATCGAAGCTGTTTCTCCTGTACTGACACCAGACCTACTTGGCGAGGTTGGCACGCTGCTTAACAACGCCAATGATCTCCTGACTGCAGACTTCGTTAAAGAAACGAAGTCGCTCATCAGCGCGGTCGGCCCGATCCTGACTCCAGAACTGCTGAAGGAGGTCAACACGCTATTGACCAATGCCAACAGCTTGTTGACTGCAAACTTCGTCAAGGAGACAACATCTTTGATTGATACAGTCGCGCCTAATTTGACACCAGAGCTGTTCAAGGAGATCAACTCGGTCCTCAGCAATGCCAATGGTCTCTTAACACCAGGCTTTGTCAATGAGACTCAATCTTTGATCGAAACTGTTGCTCCTAACCTGACCCCCGAATTGTTCAAGGAGATCAACTCTGTCCTGGGCAACGCTAATAACCTGTTGACCACCGACTTCGTGAAGGAAACCAAGAGCTTGATCGGCGCCGTTGCCCCTGTACTTACACCAGCTGTACTCGCAGAGGTTGCTGGCTTGTTGGGCAATGCCAATGACCTGCTCACACCGACATTCGTCAACGAGACTCAGGGCTTGATTGGCGCCGTGGCTCCGGTCTTGACACCTGCTCTTCTAAAGGAAGTTGGCAGTCTCTTGGGCAACGCCAACTCTCTGCTGACTACCGGATTCGTTGATGAGACCCAGTCATTGGTTGGCAATGCGAACGACCTACTGACGACCGATTTCGTCAAGGAGACCCGTAGCTTGATTGGTGATCTTTCACCGGTCATCACACCTCAATTGCTATCAGAGGTCTCAGGATTGCTCGACAATGCAAACTCCCTATTGACAGCGAAGTTTGTCAATGAGACGCAAGGATTGATCGACGATCTCTCGCCAGTCATCACACCTGAGTTGCTCGGCGAGGTCGGTGAACTTCTCGGCAATGCCAACAAACTCTTGACCACCAAGTTCGTTGAAGAGACCCAGAATCTGATCGATAGTGTGGCACCTGCAATCACCCCTGCTCTCCTCACGAAGGTGAACTACTTGCTGGGTAACGCAACGAATCTGTTGACGCCTAATTTCGTCAATGAGACGAGCAACCTCATCGACGAAGTTTCGCCGATCCTGAGTGAAGTTGCGCCAATCCTTACACCCGAAATGCTTGGCGAAATCGGCGGTCTCCTTGGAAATGCCAACGACTTGTTGACTTCGAAGTTTGTAAACGAAACGCAAGTACTCGTTGAGGATGCTTCCGAGGTAAGTTTCTTCTAAATAACAACCGCACAGTGAGCCACATACTAACTTTTCATAGTTGCTTCCCGCTTTGGTTAAGGTCTTGGGATCGCTGTGAATGTAATGAGGCGTGATATTTGAAGGATATACGATCTGATGGACAACGAGTCTACTTTAATCCTATGAGTAATTATGTATTTGATGTTGATGCAATCAATGTTCACGACGCTTGTGCTGCCGATTCAACGTCAAGTACAGACGACGTCTTAATATTAGCACATCCATAGTCATAAGACCTCCCAACGCCGTGCCAGTCGTGAAGCTGGCTTTGCCGTAATCGCAATATCAACTCATCGCGGTGTTCATGATGAACACTTCCTAAATGCCTCTGAGCCTTGTAGAGAGGAACCAGCCCAATTCGCCAGTATGTCTTCCGAGCCGTAGAAGATATCTCCATCGAAGCTGAACCGTATTCAAATCTGTCACGCCGGGATTATTTAGAAAACAATCCTAGATGAGCCGAGCACACGGTATGGCTTTTTCGTCCCATCACTGGGTGCCAGTTCCCGTAGAGCGGCTCATAGGGGGGTGGTTCAACCTGCTCGGCGCCATCTGCTAGTCGTCCGGGCTTCAAGGTCGCACAATGATTCATCATCTCTCATTGTAATTGTCCCCTCTGAGAAGACTGGCGGTGCCTTTTTGTTGATGGCCATGTATGAATATGTCTGCATGGTTTGTGTAAAGCTTCTCTGACTGAACACAGAATTTAAGACGCAATGTTCGAAGTCTTGACTTCCTGGTACTTGGACAAGACCTTCATCTCTGTGTTGCGTTCCTTGATCTTCTTGTCCATGGCTTTCTGCACTTCTTCGCGCTTCTTCTCGGCATCTTCCAGCTTTTGCCTCACTTCCTTTGCAGCTTGCTCTTGCGCCTTCAGGGCCGCCTCTGGTGTAGGATATTCCTGGCGCAGTTGTTCAATCTGGGAGCGTATCTCTTCTTCGTCGATGGGAGTGCAAGTGACTGGATGGTATTTGTGCGGCGGTAATGGTTCGCCCGGAATACGAATCTCAGGTAGCAGTTCGTGTATCGCAGTGGTGCGGACAGGGGAGTCCTGCGGGACCGCCTTGGCTGTGGGAGAAGGCGTCGGCTCAGAAGGCGGAGAGAGAGGGAGTTGTTGATCCATATTAACGTAGGTTTTTTTAAAGTGGGCGTTTACTGAAGAACCATATACGATCGCCGAGTTCAATAGGGTAGTTTGAGCCAGAAAGTAGTGAGATTTTGCAGGTTATTGGAAACTGAGGTGATGAGAGTTCTTGAATGTTCCTGGGATTTTGTAAGTCCCCATTACTGCCATCTGCCGGTTCACCGCCATTAATGGTCACCTGATCCGAAGCGGTGCCCCGCAGCTCCATCTGTATTCCAGTGAGATTTTTTTACGGTTCGCAGCAATAACTGGCATGTTCTTACAGTTACTACTTGGAGGCTGTCTACAATGCCTCTAAATATCCCCAAGAGCGTCCATCTTTTCAAGTCCTCGACCGTTAGCGCGTACGTGATCCTGATTAGATATGCTCAGGCGGTCAGTTCCTGCCGTCAGGGGGAAGCTCGCCGCCTTTGCTCCGGATGTGGGGGTTCGGGGAGGGCCTCGACCGGCAGCGCCTCTCAGGATGTCGTGAAGCTACCCGGTCACCTGAATAGATGAAAGACAGGTGATACAGGTCTGTTTACTTCGCTTCGGGCTTGCCAATCATGCAGGCCTTCGGTATGTAACCCATCCTATATTTCATTAAACAAATCGGGTCACCAGATAGGATGACATGTCTTCTGGCAATTGCGCTAATGATGCAACTCCAGTCCCCAAGAACCGGAGAGTAAGTCGATCATGCTCGATCCATGGAAGTATTGAAGATGCCAATTCTAGGTGCAGCCTCGGTTTGAGTTAATACTCAGAGTAAGGACCATTGATCACATTGCAAATGACCTACCAACTAACTGCTATGGTGGTTGTAGATTATTGACCTCAATAATGTCCCCCTCGTGAGCGGTACCGCTTTCGTCAAATGGCGCTTACCGTCATCTAGTGCGCCTGAACACCATGGCCACACAGATAAGGCGATCATCATAGATCATCGGGCATATTGGAATTATGAGAAGGTCCTGCAGGTCAGGCTCACCATTGACCGCAACCAGACCCTACACGAATGCGAGTTGTACTTCGAAGTCATTCAAGAGTTTGCGTCAGGGGGGAACAGTGAGAAAAATCTGCTAGGGAGGATCAGACTCAATCTTTCCGAATATGTGGATAAGAGTGACGATGACGAGGGCATTGTCCGGAGATACTTGATGCAGGATAGCAAAATCAACAGCACACTTAAAGTTGGTATAGCTACACGCCAGGTCGAAGGGGATCGGAACTACATTACGTATGTCATATACTATACTGGGATCGCTGTATTACTCTCGAGGAGCATGTTGCTGATGACATTCAGGCCGCCCCTCAAATCAGCCATGGTCTTTGGCGGAATCGCTGGGGTTGTATCCTCGGAACAGGGTGAACACGACGATCTGGGCCGGCTTCCCTCGATCAACACCCAGAGCCGCGAAGTGACAGATATGCAAGACATGTACCGCCGCACACTGGCCGCGTCGTGGAATTCGCGGGCGGACGATTTACCGGCCGACAAGCTGATCGAAGAACTGTTCTCCGGTGGCATTAGCTGGGCAGATGGGCATGATGCCCGTGCAGAGAAAACAGTCGAAAATCAGGCAGATCGACTGTCACCACACGGGCGCACAAGCGTAAGGCAAGCTTCATCAGACAATCGATTGTCTCCTTCCAATTTTGAGAGGCGACCAAGGAGTTCTTCAAGCAATCATTATCGCAACGATGTGAAAGGAACAGACTTTGCCCCAGCCGCTGATCATACACGGAAAAGCGGAAGTATAGAACAGCAACTGTATGACAATCCCAAAGGCAAGGCTTGGAAGAATCGTGGTTCGGAATTTGAACTGTCCGAGTTCGATGTGCGCGAGGATTTGCGAAGTTGGGAGGTCATGAACAAGGAGTGATTCAGTATGGTGCTTTGTGGCGTTAAGCAGTCTCTTGGATAATACCCCTATAACTATTACTCATCTCTCTGTTCTTCAATATGTCGGCTTTCTCACTTATGGCACCAGAATGTTGGGGTAGATAAATGCCCCATGTAAGCGTAGTCTCCGATAACCATATCGATAATCGAGGAACTGCTCGGGGTGGGTCCCACGTATGAGCTAGTCCACTTATGGTCTAGCGTATAGTTCAGATTGCATCAATCTGAGCTTCAACTTTCCATCCCGGGCTTTTCTTTAATTCCGGTCTGGTGCATTTGGTTTTGTGGTCCATATGCTGTCTCGATCTTCCAACAGTGCAGCAAGTCTTTTAGGCTGCCGGCTGCTCCCAGAATGCAGAGCAAGCTTACTCCCTCCCTCCTTGCGCCGGCACAATGTATCTATCCGGTTCGAATCCACCGAAACTGATGCGAATCACGACGAGACGCCGCCGCAACACGTATCTTCGCGCCGTACCCCTGGCCACAACCGTCTCCAGCACCACCGACTCAAACGGAGACTGGGTAAAAAAGTACCCATTTCTGTGAGCTCGCTTGGAAATCCTGGTGAGGTAGTAGTGGTCAAGGACCGGCAACGCCGTCGACTACGCATAGCCAAGGATGAGCCGAAGGAGGTCACCGACGAAAATGCCCTTCCTCTCTTTTTGAGGGAAATCGACAATGACGATCAATTTGTTGATAGCGAGCTGCTCAAAACTCGTGTCGAAAGTTTCCGTCTCGATTATGAACCTCATCACAAGTTGCCCGTTGCCGATTGGACGGCGCTCCGAAACGAATTTCAGGCGTCATTTACCTACCGGCAGCTATTGGACTATATAATAGAATGGAAGGAGAATGAGCTGGGCAGGGAAGGAACACCAGAGGCGACGCCCACACGCTGGACACCCGGAGTCTCCGAGTTTCTCGAAAGCAGTTATCTTTCCCGAAAAGGTGTCGCCGATAGAGTTGCGGCGTCGCAAGGTCTCAAGGGGAAATTTCTACTGGCCGAAAGGATACTCCGTGACTGCTGGCATCTCGGAGTCATTGATGAAGTTGGTCAACTAGATATACAGCTGCCGACGCATATACTGTCTCTGCTCCTGAGTTCGCAGCATTTCTCTTTCGAAGAATTAGCCAACATGCACGACGCAAAAATTGATGTCACACATTCGCTTGGTCTTGTGAGAATCACAGGAATGCAACGTATCTGCGAGTCAATCAGTGAGATTGTACACGATGCCATGGCCAGGGTTCGACAAGAAAGCATTGAATTGCCACCTGACGAAACGAAGACGAAAGTCAACAACCGCATCTTTACTCCAGAGTTCCTCTCGTGGGTGACCAAAACCTATAGAGTAGCATTCGAACAAAATACACCACATACGCCAAGCCAAATCTACTATCTTGCGGAAGACAAACAGGATGCGGATAATGCCCGTAGGGCCCTGCACCTTGCCTATTACAGTGGAACTGCTCCTGCTGTACCGTTCAGCACATACCTACCCTCAACTGAGCCAGCCAGTGTCCATGACATTGATCCTGAGAACAACACGTCATGGTTCGAGAGGCAAAAGGCGTGGTTCCGATGGGCCACACCAGCAACGCAGTCTGACGAGGTGAAGCCCTCAGACACGGTAATGTTCGATAACCATCAAACTCGGGTATCCGACGAGCTTTTCAAGCTACTTCGACAGAAATCATCCGTCACTCATCAGGCACATTCTGAGACTGGTGCCGACTTCCATGAATCCATCACGGCAGCAGTCGGCAAATGCCTCTTTCTACGCAAGCCATTCTTCGAAGAGAGCTCGGTCAACGCTTCTCAGCTCGGCAGAATGTCACTCCCAAGGACCTTCACCACCGACATCCCTCGCGCAGCGCAATTTCTCCGCACGCTCACCCCCAAACCAGTAGACGAGCACCAACAAGCCTACCGCTTCCGACTCGTCCCATCAGCTCTTAACGCCAACGTCTTCCCCCAACTCGAGCTAGAAGTTACTGCCAAAACAAGCAGCACACCCGAAGATGCAACCCCCGACTTCTCCATGCGCAGCGCAAAACTTATCCTATCCGAGAGCAATGTCGACTACCTCCTCCCCGAGAACGGACTTGACCTCCGCTTCACCCGCCAACTCACCCGGGAGCTCCTCCCCCAGTCCCAGGACAGCAACTCCTTCTCCCTCTCAAACATCGAGGAATCCCTCCGGAGCCTCTTCTCCCGCACCTCTACAACAGACGGAGAACTCCCTCTTCCCCCATTCACACAAGTCACTCTCCCCCGCGATATCCTTCCTCAGGACGCCGCCGACAGCTCCGCAGAGTACATCTTCCTCCCGGTCAGCGATATCCGGGGAACTCGTATTCACAAGTACGATTTCCGTGGCCAGCAGCTCAATTATGCTTTTTACGAGAGCGGGCCGCTCAACCCGTACCGTACCACGGACTTGTTCCTGAACATGGATATGACTGACGGTTCTGCGTCGGCTGATTCCAACGCTGATGTTTCTGCTGAGAATGTATCGCGGGATGCTGCTGCGTCTAAGGATGAGTTCCACACTTTCTATAACACTGCTTGCGCACTGGCCTTCGAGTTGGATAGAGCGAGACGCTTGGGAGCTGTTTGGAATGATACTATCTGAGTTAGGCTGGCGGGAAGCAGTGTTCGATTGTATAAATAGATTTTCATTTTGATGATATATGTACAGTATGATATAACTTGTAATTGGGAAGACTATGCCCCTCTCTACTTCATTTTGTGTATTATATAGCAGCTACTAATAGTCCTCGTGTCTGATGAAAATTCAGGTGTTTTTGACCACGAAATATATTTCCGCCGCGGTCTTGAGAAGCCGATGCATATTAGTAACATCTCTAACACCCATTGCGCTTTATCAAAGACGTACAAAGACTACACGCTAGTATTATCGACCCATGATTACTCTTTTGAAATCAAATTCCGATAAAGTCGTAAAGGTCGTTAATCCCTCTCCGAAGACCATCCTCCCATGCCGCCGAATTCTCCTCGAGCTGCTCTTGGTCTATATCTCTTTTACGTTGCTGAACCCACAACTCTGTATCATAGATCTTGTCCGCACCTTTCCGCGGTGCCAAGATCCCTTGAACACCAGCGCTAAAGAATCGTAATGCATCATCGTATCCCAAGTTCCAGCCATGAACAAAACTTTGACGTTTATTCGAGCCCCAAGACTCCGAGACTTGCGACAAAGCCTTGTCCTGGAACCGTGAGCGTTCGGCGTTGGCTTGGTTGGTTTTCTCTCGGACCTCTGTTTCGGGTAGCATCATTTGACTAGGTATTTGAACTGTACCATTTGAGATGTCGCTCTTGAACTGAGGAATGTCGGTTTCGCAGCCCTCGAAGACCCGTTTGTTGCATTGTGCCTGATTGTCGCTGATGTATACAGGCAAGGATGCATCAATGGCATTGGATATTTGGATGATTTCGTCGTAGCATTCGCACATGTCTGGGGCAGGTTCACATCCGGAGGAAACGGAGAGTCCGACTACCCCGGACATAGAATGAAAGGTTATCTCTTGGGCAAGGAAAGCGACGCAGTCCCGAGCTATTGTTCGATCTTTGGCACTGGCACAGAGGTTTATACCGCTGGCGCTGGCTTGAAAATCAATGAGAATACCGATCCCGTGGAACCAGCATTTTTCGATGAGATGCTTCACGGTACTCCAGCATTGGTGGTACACTTCTGATGGATCCCCTTCGAAGGATGTTCCCCGACTGAATACGGGTCCGAGGGAGTAGAAGCTCAATGGTAAGCGGAGGGTTCGGCATTGCGCTACGTCCTTGAGCCAGGAAAGGTCTTCGTCGGTCAGTGCAGAGTGCCAGTGGGATTCCCATTTCTGTTTGGTTTGCTCGAGTCCGGTGGATGCTATGGATCTGGACATGGCATGCCGCGGTTTAGTACTCATAGGGGAGGAACTATGTATATTGGGGGGGGGATGTCAGGTGTTTTCTAGTACCTACGTTTTGAGTAACTGTAGTTCATTTGACTCGTCAGCGGTATTACGCGGACCGAGTACGAAGAAAGATCCCAGACTCGCTCCAAATTGCTGCCGAAAGCGGTATATGTCCTTATCCCTGGGCGGTATAGGACAGTATAGTTGTGGCATATTCTCTTAGGTGGTTCGAAATGTTAGATTTAGTATTGTTGGTCAGGTGATAAGGATGTCTATGAAAATGGCAGATTGAATATGGTATGAAATTGTATTGAAGAGCACGGGTAAAAAGTAACACTGGATCAGATCAGATGAAGAGCAATTGTTCCACCAGAAGCATGATATGAGTAGTAGAGAATGATGAAGTGTTATGGGAGGCAGCACTTGACCCTGAAGATCAGATGAGTTTCCCAAAATGGCAACCCCTCACAAGCAATAGCTGCCCTAATGAGGGGAAACATTCATCAGACTCAGAGATTTCGGGGGGTAGAGTGAATGCAGTGCCACGTAAGAATTCCTAGTGAAATCGGGAATTTTAGGGTGCAGGAGAGAACAGAAGTCAGAGGCAGAAAACATGGTGATGGGAGTTACAGAATAAAGAGAAACCTGAGTGACCAAACCATAGGATCTCCGGGCGGGACTGACGTAGTTGGAAGACTGGAGTCTGGCTTTAAGGCTTTTTTTGGAGAAGTGATGGATGGTTCACTTCCATTCGGACTAGCGAGGGGCTCCGCATTTGGCCGAGTGTCCGTGCTGCTGTTACTGCTGAAAATGTCGCCTGTCATCTTTCACTTCTAAGCCTCGTTCCTCTCCTATTACATATTGTGAACCGTTTTGATTTCTTGCGCTCTCTTCTTTCGTTTAATTTTTCTCGTTTCACGGGTCTGCAGCTCCAGTAGTCGCCGACCGTGCTGCAAGTCGGTGGTGCCCAATCGGTGTGTGTTCAGTCATGAATTTGATGCAGACCGAGTAACCGGCCAGGCATGGAGAGAACACGGGTTGCTAAGGTCAGTGCTGTTGGAGTGCCTCAATCCAGCAGTAGAGCGCACTATGATGAGACATCCCGACTAACGACTTCTGTGATGCTTCAGGTTGAAGATGTGACCTTGGCGCGCCGAGGCGAGCAAGTGGTCGGCACTCTCCACCTCACCCCTCACCATATTATCTTCTCCCACACTCCTCCTCCTCCTGTTCCTTCCTCCTCCACCGACGCGTCTCAGGCTCCAGGCCCTTCTGGTCGTCCCAAAGAGCTTTGGATTACATACCCCATAATCTCCTTGTGCACCTGCCGCCCCACCCCCGCCGCATCCCGCCAGCCGTCCTCCATTCGTCTCCGGTGCCGCGATTTCACCTTTGTTTGCTTCTATTTCACCACGGAGAGCAAGGCGCGTGACGTTTATGAAACCATCAAATGCTGGACCTGTAAAGTGGGCCGCATTGATAAGCTGTACGCTTTCTCATACCGCCCTCCCCCTCCTGAACAGAAATTCAATGGTTGGGAACTGTACAATCCTAGCAAAGAATGGGCTAGACAAGGCGTCGATCAGGCTGGCTCTGGATGGCGGATTTCTCAACTGAATGCAGACTACGGGGTAAATTTCCACGCAAATAACTGTGTGAATTATTGTGTTGACTCTTACTTTCCAGTTTTCTGCCACCTATCCGGCTCTCTTACCGGTCCCCTCGGCCATTTCTGACAATACCCTTAATCACGCTGGAAAGTATCGGTCCCGAGCGAGAGTGCCGGTTCTTACATATCTTCATCCAGTGAACAACTGCTCAATCACACGGAGCTCACAGCCTCTTGTCGGTGTGCGACAAAACCGCAGCATTCAAGACGAAGCGTTGCTAGCGGCTATCTTTTCAACCTCGCGCTCAGAGAGACCTCTTGCAAGCTTCACCCCGCCTGGCTTCGATTCGGATTCCTCCAATTCGACCCCAGGGAACGCCTCACGCAGTCATATGCTGGCTGATCTGACCGTCCCTGATGACTTGGAAGACGAGTTGTTGAGCCCTGTCCACGAGAATCCGGAGGGAAAAGCCCAAGTTTATGGTGCCCAGCAGCACAATCTCATTGTTGATGCTCGTCCCACGGTCAATGCCTTCGCCATGCAAGCTGTTGGACTTGGGTCGGAGAACATGGACAACTACAAATTTGCCACCAAGGCTTACCTTGGAATTGACAATATCCATGTGATGAGAGACTCATTGAGCAAGGTGATTGATGCGCTCAAGGATTCGGATGTGACCCCATTGGGCCCAAATAAAGACCAGCTCGCACGGAGTGGATGGCTAAAGCACATTTCCGGAATTCTAGACGGTGCTCGGTTGATCGCTCGGCAGGTTGGTCTCCAGCATTCGCACGTCTTGATTCACTGTTCCGATGGATGGGATCGTACGAGTCAGTTGAGTGCACTTAGCCAGATCTGCCTCGATCCTTACTATAGGACGATGGAAGGCTTTATGGTACTGGTGGAGAAAGATTGGCTATCCTTCGGTCACATGTTCCGACACCGATCAGGACATCTGAACAGTGAGAAGTGGTTCCAAATTGAGAACGAGCGAATTGGGGGAGATTCTAACCGTGGATTTGGCGAAGGCGGTGGTGCAGGAAGAGCTCTTGAAAATGCGTTCTTAAGCGCCAAAGGATTCTTTAACAGAGATAACAACAGCCGCGACGCGATTGGTGAATCAGATGGGGAGATGCAAAGCTACGACGCAGAAAATCTGAAGAAGCCTAACAATGCTATACCCCGAACTGCCGCCGCCGAAAAGGAGGTTACCAAGGTGAAGGAAACGAGTCCAGTCTTCCATCAGTTCCTTGATGCAACGTATCAGTTGCTATACCAGTATCCTACCCGATTCGAGTTCAACGAACGGTTCCTGCGCCGCCTCTTATACCACCTTTATTCATGCCAATTTGGAACCTTTCTCTTCAATAGTGAGAAAGAACGCGCAGATTGGAACGCGAAGGAACGAACTCGGAGCGTGTGGGACTACTTTCTAGCGCGGAGGGAGCAGTTTACCAATCCGCAGTACGAAGCTCAGATCGACGACCACAAGCGTGGACAGGAGCGACTGATCTTTCCCCGTATCAATGAGGTCAGATGGTGGAGTGAGTCATTTGGTCGCACCGATGCGGAGATGAACGGCGTGCGGTCCTCTGGTTCTAGGCCACCCATTGGGCGTGATGCGATTAGTACTCAGCCGTCACCAGTGTTGACCGGAATTGAAACCGCTAATCACTCTCTCGGCGCTGGATCGTCTGGGAAAGATACTTTGAGTGCGGCCTCCACTGGCATGGCGGCAGTAACTGCGGGAATCTCGAATCTCGCCTTCCCTAAGAGCAAAGAGGACGGGCAGGATCCTAAGAGCTTGAATCGGATGGAAGTCGAGATGCAGTAGCCCACGCAACGAAAGCTGTGATGATGTGGTTACAAGGTAGTGGATCATGGTGAGCAATCTGGGTATGCCCGGTTCGAGCAAGAAATTTCGTATCATCTCTGCGACGTATGCTTGTGGATCTAGTGCGTGCTTGGGACGTTGCATCTCCGGGGAAGTAGAGTACAGTTTACAGTCAGACAGAAAGACAGAGAGAAGATTATGATTCAATGAATTTAAAAGAGCGGGAACCAGCAGAATGCATACAGATGCTGGAATCGGGATATGGGCTTTGAGTGTTAGTTCCAGTTTGTGATCTTGGATTTACTTCCATAGCTACTGTAACTAGAACTAGAAAACAATCAGAGTTAATGCCTGAACCCCTGAAATCTAAGGCAGAAAGCGGGATTGTAGACTAAGGGGCTTGGCGGCCCAAAGCGGGAAGGTGCCCGCCGAGCAGCAAGCGAGGTTGAGCCCTAGCCCAGAAGGGCCAGCAGAAGCCCTAAAGGCAAAAACTGCCCACTAACGCCGGCTCTCTCAAAACTGACTTGACCGCCGCCGCCCATTTCGCCCTCGCACGACACACCCCCAACCTACGCCCTCGGCCGTTTCTTCGCCAATTCAATAAAACAGAAACGCAATCATGGCTGCTGTCCAGGGAGCTATTTCGAAGCGCCGCAAGTTCGTCGCCGACGGTGTCTTCTATGCCGAGCTGAACGAGTTCTTCCAGCGCGAGCTGGCTGAGGAGGGATACTCCGGCGTCGAAGTCCGTGTCACTCCCACCGTCACCGACATCAGTACGTCCGCCCGATATTTCATTTTGCATTTGATTCCAGACCCTATATGTTATGTTGGAAAAGGCCGGGATTGGGAGATGTGAAGAACCGACGTGGGACGAATGAATGGTTCATCCGGGAGGAGGAAAAGGAAAACAGTTATCGGAATACGGCCGGGAATATTTCAACCAACAACGGGAAAATTATGGGGATTGGAGACGATATTTTTATATGCAAAGGAAGATGGAATATATGTGCCAGTTGCTAACGGATGCTCTTTTTCCTTACAGTCATCCGTGCCACCCACACCCAGGAGGTTCTCGGTGAGCAGGGCCGCCGCATCCGCGAGCTCACCTCCCTCATCCAGAAGCGCTTCAAGTTCCCCGAGAACTCCGTTTCCCTCTATGCCGCCAAGGTCCAGAACCGCGGTCTCTCCGCCGTCGCTCAGTGCGAGTCCCTCCGCTACAAGCTCCTCAACGGTCTGGCCGTCCGCCGTGCCTGCTACGGTGTCCTCCGTTTCATCATGGAGAGCGGTGCCAAGGGTTGCGAGGTTGTCGTCTCCGGAAAGCTCCGTGCTGCCCGTGCCAAGTCCATGAAGTTCACTGTACGTCTATCAACAGCGATTGATTCTTATTCCTCGAATGGTCGGATCGGTCCCGAAGCAGTGGTGGAATTTGCGCATATTCAACAACAACATTACCAACTACGATCTGCGAAAACGAAGCGACTGCGCAAGGACCGAACCGAAGATTCACCCACCATTCGAAGAACCACTCCATATGCATGATATAACAGTATCAGAAAAACTAACAATTATTCTTCCAAATAGGACGGTTTCATGATCCACTCCGGTCAGCCCGCCAAGGAATTCATCGACAGCGCCACCCGCCACGTTCTCCTCCGCCAGGGTGTCCTCGGTATCAAGGTCAAGATCATGCGCGGTTCCGACCCCGAGGGCAAGGCCGGTCCCCAGAAGACTCTCCCCGATGCCGTCACCATCATCGAGCCCAAGGAGGAGCAGCCCGTCCTGCAGCCCATGAGCCAGGACTACGGCGCCAAGGCTCTTGCCGCTCAGCAGGCCGCTGAGCAGCAGCGTCTGGCCGAGCAGCAGGCCACCGAGGCCCAGGAGGGTGCCGGTGCCGAGGCTTACGCCCAGGAGTAAAGAAAAAAAATCATATCCCAAACAAAAGAAATTTCATTTGGTTTTTTTTTTCTTCTCCATTAGGCCCTGCTTCTCTTCTTCCCTGTTCTCGAATATCATCTTCATTACCTAGTCTCCTGTCCCGCCCATTAACCTAACCTAACCCAACTCGAACCTCTTTCTCTATATCTCTTACCTATGACGCATCCAAATAAACAACTACTTTGATGACCTCTAAGCTGTTTATTCCGCTCCCGGCTATCTCTCCCTCTTTTCGTCAGTAATGATGGAGGGGTGATAGTTGCGAGACGCCCTTCTGTGGTTGTATTTTTTTCTGTCTAGTGGAATATCTAGGCGGAAATGGGAATGAGACGATGGAAAGGTTGAAGAGTTGGTTGTTCTTCCTATTCTCATTGGCTTACGTCATAGGCTAGGTCTGGGTAGGACCCGGAATCTTAAAGTAATACTTGTACCTAGGCACGTGGGGAAAAAGAGATTGTTTGGTCTGCTGGTATTGGATTTGTGTCTGTTCATTCGTAGGATTGTGTAGACTTGTTACTGGTATACATAATACGTCCTTGGTTTCCGATATATTGTTTATGTATATATATTATCGGTAATATTGGACTACATCTTGTCTGTTTCAAGTTGTCCCATAAACCTACTAAGTTACTACTGTACTCCTACAGCAGGAAGAGTTAGTATGAGGTTCAATGGCTTGAACTAAGAGTACTATTACCAAATCAGAGGAAGATATAGTATTCTTAATACCATGATTAACTGCAGCTGAGCCGACGGAGTGATGGCGAAGCTTTCAACACCCAATACTAGTGAAGGTGCTGTACTACTTATATATCATAAGTATTATTGAACACGTTAGTTAAACTGTGATACACTACTTTTGGCTTCTGACAGTTCTCGTCCCTGGTGAGGATGAAATCAAGAAGTAACGATAAAAAAAAATCAATCATGGCATCAGCTATTTTTCTATGTAACATCTATCGTCTACGCATGACTTTGCTTTGATCTCACGCCTTCGCTTACAGGAAAGCTTCGACGTTGATCTCCAGAGTGCTGACGGGGTACTTCAACTCGTAGTTCTCCAACACCGTCGGGTGCAGGATACCGAAGGCACCGATGACGTGCTCCTTGCCAGCTATGCGCACGTGGACGGAGGCGGCGTGTCCGGGGAAGTAGGTGGGTTCTAAAGCGTCCAGTTAGTGACCTGTATATCTCGGGATGTCTAATTGCTTCTGACTTACCGTCAAGCTCCTCAATCCAGTACTGAGAGTCAGCCATGGCGGAGTTCTCAAGGCCCTCCTCACCAGTGATGAAAGCGCTCTTGAGCATGGCCATGACACGGTCCAGGAGACCGTGGACAACCTCGAAACCACTCGTCTTGCCGTACCAGGCAGCAGCGAAGTGCCTCTCGTTACGACTCTTACGCTCCAGAGACAGGTCCTTGAAAGCGACATCGCTGACTTCGAAGACCTTCATGGGCACGGCGTGATGCTTGTTCTCACGGATGGTCTTGAGCAGACCGGGCAGCAGGCTTGTGCGGACAACCTGGAACTCAGTGGTCTTGGGGTTGGCCAGCTTGACGGCGGTGTTTCCGTCGTCCTTGCGGTTGAGCCAAGCGAAGTTCTCGTCGTGCGAGCACAAGATCAGGGGCAGCACTTCAGACCAGCCGGCCATGGCAGCCTCCATGCGCACAATATCGGTAAGCTTGTTGATGGGGAGGGGTTGGGCAATGGTACCGGACTTGCTGGGGAAAGACCGGGGAAGGTTGTTGAAGCCATAAGCGATGGCGACATCCTCCATGATGTCGGCTTGGTGGAGAACGTCGGCTCTCGTCGGAGGGATAAACACATCAATCAGATCCTTGGAGGCGGTAGAGGGCTTCGCATCGTAAGCCATCTTCTTCAGGAGAGTGCAGATCTCTTCGGGGGAGAGCTCCAGGCCGCAGCACTGGTTGAGGTAAGAGACCTCGGCCTGAGTCGTACGGGGCGCAATGTCGGGGACAACTCTAGTCTCGTTGTTGTGATCGGAGATCACCCTAACAGGCTCAATCCTATGTGTCCAGTGAGCAGGTGATACTAAAACCGAGGGGAAGGAGGCCTACGTGAAAGGCTCGGAGGTGTATTGAGAGAACATGGACACAATGATCCGGTTGACAATCTCAACCTTCGTCTTGTCAAGTGCCGTGATCTCAATGAAGACGTTCTTGGTGTCCAGGGTGATCTTGGAGTGATCGCCGTTGATGATAGGAGGAAGAGAGCAGACGGTTCTCTTGGAGTCGTAGATCACGGGGTAAACGGGGGAGTCGCGGATGATGTGGAGGTACTTGCCCAGGTGCTTGTCTTTCTGTTACATAGTAAGCACCTAGTTCATTCGACTCGTCAGACACCTGTGGGCCATACCTCGTAGAAAGCCATCAACTCCTCGCCGTTCATTTCTTTCGTCTGGTTGAGAGGGACAAACTTGATGTCCTTCGGGGGAAGGGCCTCATATGTGAAAGGGCCCTGGATGGTGTCCAGATCGTGGGTACCGATGGAAACAAGGGTTCTTTGCCTGGCGAGGTTCTGGTGGAGCTTGTCTTGCAGGGCGATGAAGGATTCGTAACGCGCTTGGTCGAACTTGATATTGCGGAGAATGGCACCGGAGACGAGGGGACGGATCTTCATAGTCTACGCTCACATATTAATTTTCATTCATGTTGAGCCAGATTTTCGGTCGTAACATACGTCCTCCTTGACGATAATGGTCTGAAGTTCACCATTGGCAGGCTCGACCAGCTTGTAGTTGGGGAGAGGCTGACGACCCAGGAAGATGTTGAGCATGAGGGCGATACCCTCGAAGCACAGCAGGTCATATCTAGATACCTCTCAGTATGTGAATTTTGAATCATTAGAGTTATCGCGGGTGCGTACCGGTTGGCGGGGATCTCGATCTTGAGCTGCGGGGGTTCCTGCTTGCCGTTCACGATCGGTCTGTCCGAGTTGGTGGTCTGGATTTGAGTTAATATTATGAGTCTCAAGAGGCGAGGACGGTCGGAGGAGAATTTACGTCTTCATCGAGTTCAATTCCTGTGGTAAAGTAGCAGTTAGCGCATTGCCCCGCCAATCCCGGTTCAGAATGTCCGACGTACCGAATTCGAAGCACAGCTCGTCGAACTCCTCGGTGGTATAACTATGAAGTTGGTCAGTATGAGAAAAGAGTATCCAAGGGGATAAATTGCGCATACTCCCGACCGAGCGCCTTGAAAAGCGCCTCCTTGTCAACGGAGATGGTAGGCATGGTGATGAGCGGGGGAGGTTCAAGACAGGGCGACAAGAAAAGTTGAGAGGAAGAAGAAAAGCAACAGACTGCCTGAGGAGAAGGATAGTCTGTGTAGGTCCCACCACGAGGTCAACCGCAAGTAATCAGCGGGGGGGGAAAGAGGACGGGCAACAAGAGCGCTGGGCTTCAATCGGACAGTATGCCACCGTTTGGGTAACTCTACAGTTAGTCTAGTCGGAGTCATAAAGTCTTTTGTTCCCCGTTGGGGCTTGACCCTCTGTGAGGGCGGCGGGCAAAGCCACTGAAAGCGCACCGCCACAAGACCATCACCCCTCCTTTTTTTCTTGCTTGGTGGTTCCAACCTCACCGGACTCGGACTTCCGTACGGGAGAGTACACCGCCTGCTTGCGCTCTCCCCTTCACCAGCCACAGCCCGGCCTCCAACAAGTCCAAAGCAACCTCTCCAGCAAGCCCATCTCGTCACCTTCGCAATTCCCCCCCTCCACGGATTAGCTTGATATCACCGCTCACAAGTCTTCCATTCTAAACCCCTGTCGCATCATATACGGGGGTCTTCTATCTTTCACGATTTTCTTAGATTGGACCATAATCCCTGTTTGGTCCCGGTCCAATTGTCGAGGTATGATGATAATGATGTTCTTGCTGCTGCTGTTGTTGCTCAAGTGTCCTGCGGCGGCCCAAACCCCACGAAACCTCGCTCCGGGGTTCTCAACTCACCCTCTACTATCTCCCTCTTCCTCCCACCACACTTCCCCCCCGCTGACTTGGTACTTTTTCACCTCTGTATAGGTTCTTAGCATCCTCCTTCCTCTTCACGATATCCCCGCCCCCTTTTGCCGGATCGCCTTTCTTCCTAGGAAATATTCGTCGTGTTCGCGTGCGAGCGGGTCGGATCGTAGCCTGAACGAGGACTTGGACCGGTCACATCCTTGCCTCTCTGCGTATTTCCCTAACTTTCAACCTCACACTCATACATCATTTTCGCAATGGAGGGCCAAGGAGAGAATGACGAGCTTTACCCTATCGCCGTCCTTATTGATGAGTTGAAGGTATAGTTGCCCTCGTGGTCATCCTATCCCTGACGCACGAACATCGGCAGTCCTGATCCTGAGAATGTCACAGCATGACGATGTACTCCTCCGCCTCAATGCCATCCACCGTCTGTCTACTATCGCTTTGGCCTTAGGGCCCGAGCGGACCCGGGAAGAACTTATCCCTTTCCTTGATGGTTAGTACCGTCAACGCAAGAAGGATAGCTTTCTGGTCAAAATGTTTCCCCTAACTCTTGCGCCATAGATTCCGTCGAGGATGAAGATGAGGTTTTGACTGCACTGAGTGAAGAGCTGGGTAATTTCATAGAGTATGTCGGGGGTCCGGAGTACGGGCATGTACTCCTCTCTCCGCTTGAGAACTTGGCTGCTATTGAAGAGCCTCTGGTCAGAGAAAAGGTTAGAGAGCCGCAACCGTTCTCTTGTGGTACTCTCCCTTTGTGCTGACATTGTTTCAGGCTGTTGAATCCCTCAATAAGATCGGCGAGCAGCTGTCCGAGAAGCAGATCGAAGAGAATTTCATCCCGATGGTTCTACGCCTGTCGAAAGCCGACTGGTTCACCTCGAAGGTTTCCGCGACCGGCCTGTACTGTGTCCCGTATAGGAAGGCTTCTCCCTCTTCACAGCAGACCCTTCGGCAATACTACGGAGGTCTCGTACATGATGACACAC